TTATAAATTCTTATCACTATCACGAGAGGATGAATTAAAACATGTATATACTTTCTTTGTCTCACTCTGATTTGTTGTCGTCAGGTTTACCTTCTCTCCCCTGTAGTCCTCACTCGTAACCACTGAGGTCAGCGAGCAACGCAGGTTTTAACGCGCTGCACGAAACCCGCTCTGACACGGAGCGCAAACACTTCAGCACTTGTCAACAGCACTCGGCAGTGATTTTCATTACTGATGCCACTTAAGTGCGAGTGTATAGACTATGATTGTGGCACTAGTGGTTCATTGGGAACATGCCAAGTAAACCATCTGCTGATGTTGGCGGAGTGGTATAATCATAATGATGGGCACGATGGCTCTCAGCTTTATATAGTCCGAGAGCAGCAATAGCACAATGGCAGAGTGAGTAGCTTGTCCTTGAACAAGACACCGTCTCCCCATCAATATAGAGGTGATTTTAAAAGATGAGGGGTAATGACATACACCTTACAAAGCACAGTATTTATATCTCTCACTTTATGTTGAAAATAGTTGGCCACAGTGATCACCTGTCTATGCACGCCCGGAAAGACTGTTGTAGGATTGTTAAATCAGCTTGTCTTTGCAATCCCGTTTGTCCGATCTACACTCTGGTGGGTGCAAGTGTAGCATTTTAATTTAGCATTTCTAAAAAGCCAACAATACAACAAAACATCACACATTCAAGAAAGTTGCACCGAAACAGTAATTTATTGTGAGTTTTACTTTGGAACTCAACCACGGATAGTATCAGTTTCAAACATTCTCCTGTCTTCAGCATGTGTCCGAACATTTCACATGTTTGTCAGTGTCTTCAACTCCAACAATTTGCAACACAATAACACACATGCATGTGCCATCACATCATGTGCATGTTTGCCATTGTTACCCGGCTGGTAAATCGAGAGGCTCCTCACAGAACACTGGATGAATTTACAGCTTTTTGAAGGCATCTGTAGATCAAATTTAGTCAATGTTGGTTTTAGTGATGTACTAAAAAAAAGGCACTTTATCGTCACATTTCTGTGTAATCACATGTGGGGTGAAGAGTCAGAATGATGTTACATTTCACACCGAGGCCTTTGTTGCACGAGACTGCAGCTGCCTATAGTGTAATAACTATCTATTCACATAACTTGACGAGGTAAAACAAACATGACGGAAGGTTTAACTGTAATAAAACCTGTTGATACATCATAAATAATAAACAACAATTGTCAAGTGTTGGGATCATGTGACATCACAATATTTCTATCTCTGAGGTAGAGAACATTGACGTACAGGATGTTACACCGACAGGTTTTATCACAGTTTCATGCGCATTTGTTTCTCTGTCATGTTATCAGATAGTTTTTACATTAAACTTTACAGCAAGGTGGTTCCAGTGCCTCAGTTTAATTAATGACTCAGCGAAAAGCAAATCCTTCCACGCTGGAACCAACGGAGTAAAGTATATATATTCAGGATTACTTAAATACTACCACATGTATTACAGCTGGTTGTTCCAGAGGTTGTGCTGTGTGCCTGTGTAATTTTTTGCTAGTTGACCAACACACTGACTCACAACAGTCCGTAATGCAATCAAAAGAAATGAGAGGTTGTGAAAAGTGCTGATCCCATTTACATTTCCATGTTGCGGGGGCGGCAGTTGCCCCAGTGATATAGTGCTGAGGTGTCATGCCATGGTAACAACTGTTGAACTGCCGAGGTGTTGTATACACTGCAGCCACTCCGAGGCTGTAAATCACAGGTCTGTTTTTAGGAGCTCTCGCAGACTTTTTCTTTTGTGCCCAGCTGGAAGTCTGCGGGGCACGGAGGGCTGGTAAAGGACACATAGGTTCCCATCCCAAATACCCCACGTACCATAAAACATACCGTTTTAGTTTGGTCATGTTTGAGTTATGCCTCTGACCTAAAAAGATTTGTACGAAATTCAACAAGAGGCTACGTGGGATACCCAAAAAATTTCAAATTGCCCGATGGTAACATGATGACAAATGAATGTCCCTGTGAAATCGGTGGAAATTGTACTCTTTAAATGTGTTCTTGGAAAAACTCTGGCTGCTGGGACAATGTGGGAGAGCATCTTAAGAGTGGTTTTGCCGTGTTGATACAACCTCAGCCAAGATAATCAGTAACAGTGCAGCAAGTGGACAGTAATGCTGAAGACAGGAGAGCAAACACTTTTTGTCTGAGGGTTTGGAGTGGTATTGGTGTGTATATGTCTGTGTTGTGTGCGTGTGTGTTTGTGTTTGGAGTGGTAATGGAGCGTATAAGTATATCTCTGTGTGTGTGTGTGTGTGTGT